ATTTTTTTTTTTGGGGGGGGGGGCTGGTCCAGAGATCTGGACCTTGACCTTGGTGTTATCAGTATCATGCTTTAACCAAGTGAGCTGACCAGCCAGCCCCCATCATATGATTTTTTAATTGCCAGCCCCATAGTTCCTGTATTGCTCTGGGATGGGGTTCTGTTTCATCTCCTGGTCTATTGAAGTGACCTCATTCCCTTCTCCCTCTTCTTCCTCCTTAGAGAGCAGTCAGACCATTAGCCCAGTTGTGGGCCCCTCACCCTAATTAAAAAGATCTTTGCCTAAGCAGAAGAAGGCAGCCCACCTACTCAAGAAAACACAGTGCAGGGAAGATTCTAGAATGGCACATGCCCAATTCTCTCTTTCTGGATGCATGAGTTAGAAAATAAGAGCGAGGCCCCATGGTGAGGGATACGTGCACAGCTCTCTAGGAGTCCACAGTATTGTGTGATTACCTGATTTAGCACAAAAGATGCACCTTGTCAAACTCACTAAAAACCCTTCAGAAAAAATGCCAAGCTTTCCAAATATGTTAAGGAAGAGTCAAAGGACGGCAGCACATTGCTTCATTCGCATGTGTAGGATCTGCGTCTCCTCTGCACACTTCCTCCCCATTCTGGATGGCCATTTATGTGGCATGGAGGTAGTAGCAGTAAAAGGAATTAGGGAAGTTTCTCTGGCCTTGACAAAACAAATCTATTTCTGAGCTGCACCAGCTAACCTCAGTGGACCCCACAGAGCCAGCTGGAGAGAGCAGGTATTGATCTTACAGTTATGTACTTACTCAGTTATCCCTCCCAAACTCTCAGAGCCATTTCTGCTACTTGGCTTAAAGAAAAAAAAAAAATCATAGTTTGTCTTTAACTTTTTTTTTGCAGGGAGGAAGCATTCAAAAGAGGAGATGCACATATAGATTAAATAGTCATTTGTCCTCTTGGGACCATTTTTCACCAAGAGGCAATATGTGGTTCTTGAGAAATTTGGAACAGGTGAACCCAAGTAAATACTATAGTAGGTAAATCCAGGGAGTCACATTTTGAATACTTTGCGAATTGACAAAGCCTCAGGCTGTGATAGAAATTTTGAAGCAATTCTGTTTTTTTCTGTATTTCAAGGGAAGCAANAGCCGAAAGCCAAGCTCACAGTCCCAGAGGCTTCGATCTTGAGCTCCTTGCCTCTCTGCCGAGGGATGTACAGGGTTGGTAGCCTCCGTCTGTTAAGAACACAACGTATCCCAGGGGAAGTCTGGGTTCTGCTACTTACCCCATTATGCCTGGTGAGTGATCATCTTTGTTTTACCCAGTCTCAGGGCCTGTAAAATGGGGATGGCGTATCCCCGTCCTTTTCTCTTGCTCAGGTTATCCTAGGGAGAGAGGGAGACGGCCTAGTTGAAAGTCCCTGAGTTCTGTATCAGAACCGGTATCTCCCAGCCTCAACCCTGCCGCCTTTGCTGACACATACCCTGTGCTTCTGCCCTAGGTACGTACCTGTGGGCATCATGTTCCTGGTTGGCAGCAAGATTGTGGAAATGAAGGACATCATTGTGCTGGTGACCAGCCTGGGGAAATATATCTTCGCATCTATATTGGGCCACGTTATTCACGGAGGAATCATTCTACCACTTATTTATTTTGTTTTCACACGAAAAAACCCATTCAGATTCCTCCTGGGCCTTCTCACACCATTCGCAACAGCATTTGCTACCTGTTCCAGGTGAGTGGGTTTTGGGTGTCCTTGGCTGCTCTGAGCCATATTAATATGGAGCCAGGTGAGCCCAGTGGTAGTGTCTCGACATATTGTAATTACTTGAAAACTTTATGGTCTCATATGATTTTTTTTTGGGGGGGGGGGGGGGGGCGGGCCC